AGGTGCTCCGTCCCCACCTACCCGCTCATACCCCCTAAGGACTTCTCATGTACCCCTGAGGGTATGTCTACCCCCCAGATGACAACCCCTGCCTTAGGCCTTCTCTACAGAAATGGGTACTCACCACTGAACTAAAATTTTAATTTATCTTCTACAGATATACAGGGCTAGATCTTCAACAGTTATATATGCCATTGCCAGCAAGGGGCAGCAATGGGGGTTGTAGCTCATAATTATTAGTGCTATCTCATGGCTTTTCAATCCATGAAATCCTCTTGGCACTGTCCGTTAAGTTCACAAAGGCCAGAAGTCTCGTTGAAACCTGGTAGTAATTGTGGTAATGTGTTCTGAGCTAGTATTGAACCTGGGACTACTGTAAGGATTTCAAGTTGAGCATGAGGAAAGCAGTTAGGTTTAAATAATTACTTCAACCTCACCCATCTCTCTGGAATGCCTTCCACAGCCTGGTAAGTGGGATGTCTCATACATCTATCTACAAACTTAAATGGACTATATTTAGATAACAAATAATTTCTTTAAAAAAAAAAAAAGCAAGTAGCCTATTTTTTCAGAGGCATTGAATGGCCTCAGCCTGCCCTGAGCTGTAGTTGGAAGACGCAAAGCAGCTGATGGAGGAGGGGACTTCCAGTCATGGACCTTCCCCCTCTCGACGGCACTTCCATAGAGCTAGACTCTCTCCAGGGAACCTATTTGCTCTCATTACTCATTATTTAATCACAACTTTTAAGCATTAACATCACTTTGGCCTGTCTTGTTCTCTGCCTACAGCACAATGGTACAGCACAATCTTTTGAGGATTGTCATACCTTAATCTAACAAGACTCTGCGCTGTAGTATCTGGGCAAAGCTTAGTGGCCTGTGATATACAGGGAGTTACACTGTATGACTTGAGGCTCCCTTCTGGCCTTAAATGCCAGGAGATCATTATGTTAATTGGGGTCGTGGGTTTTGTACAAACTCAGAACAAAACACTGGTCCTTACCCCACAGACCTAGCAATCAAAGTAAAGGTCAAAGATGTGAGACAACAGGAGTCGTGATGATCTGCAGTAGGATCACGCTTTAGCCGCCCCACTGGTATTGGGTCTTTCAATAGAGATCACACCAAAGGAAAGATTTAAGGAGGTATCAGAAGGAAGATAATGGGGTATCATTTAGCAGAGGTTACGGGGGCTCCTCCAAAGTCTGAGTTGTATGAAGAGGTTTGTTTGAAAAATCTGCAAGGCTGCACTGGAAGAGGACGTCTTGGACTGATCCAAAGCACGAGTTGAAATCTTGATGCCAGGTGGTTTGGAAGTGGGGGAGGACATTGAGAACATTGAATGTGAAGACAAGGAGTTTGATATGACAGAGAAGGGAGAGCCGGTAGAGAGATGCTTAGAGAGGGTGAGGTGGCCAAAGCTGAATCAGGTTGGTGCACGTCAGGATGGGACCCTGGAATGAAGCATATCAGTGAAGTAGAGCTGCTCCTCGATGGTCTTGGATGACCTGAGTCTAACTGGACCCATGGGGTGGGTTTTGAATGGGTGTGGTGGGACTACCAGCCCAGGACTTCCATACGTCACAGGGACACTGATTGGAAGTGTGGGGTTGACCTGGGTCCTGCTGCGCTGTCCTGGATGGCTCAGTTGCATTTATGTGAGTACATTGAGCATTTTCATGTTTTGATTCGTCTTCCCCTTTTCCCATATAAAACGATCCTTGGGATTCCAGGTTCCAGGAGTACTCTGAGTGTTTGAGGGTAGTCTACATCACCCCCTGCCTGCAATGGGAGGTTATAGCTTAATTTCCCAAACCCACAATGGTAGTATGGCTTTGGGTAACACTCAAGCCACAACTCTATTTCTTTTTAGGAGAGGACTGTTTGGCAGCGTGCACTTGGCCCACAACACAGCTATTGGCACCTAACAGAGCCCAGAGGACTGACTTCAAATCTTTCAGTGGTAGAGATAGGCTTATAAAGGGCACCTGGGTAGTTAATGCTCCCAAGTAGTTTGTCATGAGCTGAAGGTGAAAAATATTTCACAAAACTGCTTAATTAGAGTCCAATCCAATCCCCATTTTGGTGGCTTCAAAGATGTTTTCTGTTGTTTTGTTACCTTGTAACCCAGGAAACTGGGCTTATTAGTCTGCAGAAGAGAAGACTGAGGTGGGATTTAATAGCAGCCTTTAACTACCTGAAGGGGGTTTCCAAAGAGGATGGAGCTGGACTATTCTCAGTGGTGGCAGATGACAGAACAGGGAGCAATGGGCTCAAGTTGCAGCAAGGGAGGGTTAGGTTGGATATTAGGCAAAACTTTCTCACTAGGCAGGTGGTGAAACACTGGAACGAGTAACCTAGAGAGGTGGTGGAAGCTCCATCCTTGGAGATTTTTAAGGCCTGGTTCAACAAAGCCTTGGCTGGGATGCTCTAGTTGGGGCTGGTCCTGCTTTGAGCAGAGGGTTGGACTAGATGTCACCTCCTGAGGTCCCTTCAACCCTCATTTTCTATGATTCTATAGAAAGTGAATGTTTTGGCCTAAAGTTGACATCCCACTGGGCATATTAAAATCACTTGCATATAAGACTAATAAAGGTATGAGTGACTAATTAAATTAAGGTGAATAAAGTTATGAGTTAAGTCGACAAGAATAGTCAGGAAGATGTGACAGCACAGCAGACGAGTTACTCTGCACTAATATCCCGTGCAGACACTCTGCCTACATGATGAGAATACAGTTGTGCAGGTTGGTTTACTCCATTTTAAAAGTGGAGAAGACACCCTTTGGTTTACTGCCGGGTAAGATTATCCTCTAGAGGAATGAGTAGGCAAGAGCTCAGCTACTGTAAATTTCCACCTGGTTTTCTGCACAATTGACTTCCTTGTGCAGATGAGCCCATTCTCCTAACCATAATTTTAAAACAAGATTGCTTTAGGTAGCAAGGTCCTGTCTCAAAGTCTGAGGCGGAAGGTAAAACAAAATAACCTGTCCCTTCATTGCCATTCGCAATGCTGACGTCAGTTAGAGGCTGAACTCTGTACCTGTTTAAATGATCTTAAGTGAGCTAACATTAGCAGAGAAATCACTTCCTCGTAGGATTAGCTGAGAGCAGCCTCCGAAATGAAAGGCTACGTCCTTCTCGCTGTTCTGCTCAGCTCTGCTGTGTGTGCTGGGAACGGTAAGAAACATTATCTCCTGCTCTGAGGCTTTTAAGTATCAGATCATCTGCGCCAGTGAACGGGTAACTTTTCCTTGGTGGTACAATTACTAAGGCAGTCGTTAAATGAACAAAATGCCCGGGAGAAGATTGCTGACTTTTTAGAGCTTCTGGCTTGTGATTAAGTTCGCTGAATACGTCCCTACAAGCCAGCCGGTTTAGTTGTTATCAGAGCCCAGCAAAACCAGACAATGGCGTCTGTCTTTAAATTCAGTTTTGCACATAAGGGTGAGATCTTTTCGCAGGCCCTACCTGCTGAACTGTGATAACTCAGCCTTTTTTACAGATGATAAGAAACGGGGCTATTTAACGAGTAAATGAGTAACTGTTCCCCTTCAGCACCTTGAGAAATAAAGGCTGCAGGTGCTTTTTTTGTTCTAGTGTAAATGTAATCTTTGAAAGGAGAACCCAGAAAACAGCCCCCAAACTGTTGTTTATGCCCATTTCAGTCGATCGGAGTTTTATCACGAACTTCCAAAGCGTTGCATTGGGTTTTACAGTGTGCCATAAGGGGCTCGCAATACGGGTCTGCAGGAATGGTTAACGTGATTAATGACCCAAATCAAATCAACACCAGAAATATTCAAATGACAGGCCAAGAGTCATTCTTTAATCCACTTTATTTCCGTATTGTTGATAGTGTGGCAGGGTGGTGGCGTGGCATATCAGCCTCAATTCCTTCACCCCTGGGTTTTCATGTACGGTATGTTTTGAACTGGAGCGGGGGATTAGTAGGACATTAGAGGTGAATCACAGTTGTTACGAAAGCCTTTAGGGCATCGAGGAGTAAAGGGAAGTTGTAACAGTGATAAACATCCTATATGTGAACTCTCCCGGCCACGGTGGCACATTTGTCTGATGCCATTTAAGCTTCTGGCATAATTCTCTATTATACGTGTCAATAAATATCTGTTTACTATTATGAACAGCCACGTATTATAATCATTGAGACACATGAGCTGCTGCAATTGTTCCTTAGGCTTTAGTAGTTAAATGAAAACTCGATAGAGTTGCCTGAGATCATCAGTACTACCTGAGTGAAATTCATGGCCATAGAGAAGACGTGCAGAAAGGGCAGCACCCCTTCTTGTCATACCTATTGCTCATCATCTCTAGCTCTCAGAGCAGGTTACAAAGGGGAGGTACGTCACTGAGCCAGAGTCCACTTTCAGCTTTATTCAGCTTTTTAAGAAACTTGTTTCCTGTTTTATGGACCTGATTCACCACTGAATCCCTCCAGCTTGACACCAGTTTAACTCCAGGGAAATCAGTCCATCCTGCTGCTCTCAGTGGAGTTTTAAATGCAAAGAATTAGTGTGATGGAGGGGTGAGTCATGTCCTTTCACCTGTTAAACGAAAGGCAAACCTAATTGTCTTACCAAATTTTTGTGGTTGACTTGTAACCTTGCAAACACAACATTTACCGTGTTGATTCCCTCCCTTTCCTGGTCGTAGTTCGTCACAGCAGTGAGGGTGAGGTGGCATCTTGCCCATAGAGATGATCTCTTCAGAAGAGTTATTGAACACAAAGGAAAGCAGGGAACTGTGCAGCCATGTACACGCCACTCGTCTGGCAATAAACAGGAGTTATATCTTCAGGGTCATCAGCGGGTTGCCTTGTCATGTAGAGAGGAGTGGAATAACACAGGGACTCGGGATATTCCCTGTAGTCTAGTTACGTCACAATGGGCCTTATCCAAAGCTCTCCGAAACCCTCTTATTTACCTGAATGGGTTTGGGTCAGGACTGGTATGTCCATAACACCCTGAATAGACCTAGTAGAGCAACACACCAGTAATTCCATTTGTAAAACACTGACAAAGACCCCCAGAAACTTCTATTACTGTGTAACCCCAATCTTAATTTCCCCATCATTTACCCCAGCACTGGAAGCTCCTGAGCCTACGGTCATCCCTCCTCACCACCTGGCTCTTTGGTTTTCAAACACTAAGAACATTTGGACTAAGTAACTTGCAGCATCATCAACCTACAGACTTTGCTCAGGTTATCTATTACGGAGTCCTCAGTGAGGGCCACTGAAGCTTATATCTACAGAAATGACACTGGTCGGGATTTTCCGCAGTGACCAAAGAGCATTCAGTGTCCCATTAACAACCATGAGGTGTGGCTCGAGCAGCCAGGACATGCAAAGCACCATGTGGCCTTGTTCACCGAGATGCTCTATGGTTGTCCTTGTGTTTTTGGAGAGTTTCACAACTCAACACAGGAGTCCAGTCTTCATGGCTGTCCCTCTGTCTCCATGCATGAGTGCTGCATTTGCTTAATAATAATAATAATAATAATAATAATAATAACATCAACAAAAATAGCCTAATTCTTTTGCATCAGGGGAAAATAATTTACAATGAAACCACATGCCAGGAAATAGCATGTCACAACTGATTTGGGCCTTCTTGAAGTCACTGAAAGAAAGGACTAGACTCAGTAGGGAGTGGCGGAAATGCAGAACAAGACCTTTGTTAAAGTCTGCTGTGTACACAGCTTATCTACTCCACCGCCATCTTGGCCTGCAGGGCCTTCTGCAAAGTGCTTACGGCCGGAAAAGACCTGGTCCTGGGCTTCTTTCATGTGCAGAATGCAAAACCCCAAAATAACATTTTTGATGCCTGTTTGTAATCTATCTAGCTGAGAGCCCATCCCTGCCGCTTTCCACCACTGCCTCAGCATACACGGCTTTCAAGTTTGAACTTTGGAAGTGAAAGTGAACTACCTCGGTCCATGGACACTGCCACAGCTAATGGACTGGTGTGATTCCCCTGAGCCAGGGCTAGGGTGCAATGTTAAAAATGGTTTTCTGACTGATCCTTTGATGCCTCTGGTCCTGATTGGAAATAACAGTAACCCCTAAAGCTAGGGACAGACATTACACTTAAACTGGTTTAAGTGATCAGCCACTAGTTTAAACCTGTAACAGAACAGAAGTTCAGTGCACATGAACCAGTTTCAAAATGGCTGAAACCGGTTTGAGATAAACCTGGTTGAATGTAGTATCAGACTTAACTGATTGAGCTCAAACTGGATTGTGCAATGTCTGTCCCAGACCCCTTCCTGGTTTAAGTTAAACCAGAGTCTCCCAGCATCCCAGAATGCTCTACGGCCCTAGGTTGGGCTGTGCTCTCTGCTCCAGTGGAGCAGGGCTGGCCTCGCCCCTCTGCTCCCCAGCCCGAGCAGGGACAGGCAGGGGCAGGAGGGTCTGGTCAGACGCTGGCCCTGGAAGGGAGCAGGGAAGAAGTTTATTCCCCCGCTCCCTCCCCTGTCCCACCAGCATGGACCTGCACTTCTCCGTGCTGGCTGCTCCAGCAGTGTTGGCATGGTCAGCGCCGACAGTAGCCTTGGCTGAACTGGCCAGAGAGAGGTTTAATTCCCCCCTCCCTGTCCCATCGGCATGGACACAAGCTGGGTCAGCCGGGAGCTCACCCATCACTGCTACAGCGGTAGGGCCGGGCATGGCCAGACACTGGCCATCATGGCCCCCTGAGGCAGAGCGGGCAGGGACGGGGGTTATTCCCCCTTCTGCCCCCAGGGCACTGCAGTGGAGTCTGCCCACCCTGGCCAGCACCACCCCAGGGCAAGCGGCAGAATAAGGCCCTCTCCTGCTCCCCTCCACTGGACGCATGGAGGGAGGGGGCTTATCCCACTGCTTGCCCTGGGCACAGAGTAATTGGTGGTGGCCAGGGTGGGCAGACCCTGCTTTGCTCCCTTGGAGGCAGAGGGGGGAATAACCCCCTACCCTACCCCTGGCCTAAAGGGCCTTGCTGGCCAGCCTCTGTCCCAGTCCCTGCCCGGGTACTGGAGCGGTGAGGGAGGAGCGACCACGATAGGGGCAGCACCCCTGGCATAGTTTCCTGAAGCACGACTCCCTTCCTGGTGGGCGGCCCGCATTGCAGGGCAGGGAAAGCTGCTGTGGACTGCACATGGTGGCAGTGGCGGTGCTGGGCAGAGCAGGGGCTGGAGGGCTCTGGCCCTCTCCAAGTCTGTTGCTGCCCCGTGCAGTCTGCTGCAGCTCTGCTCACGTCCCCGCTGGGAAGAGGCTTGCATTCCCCACACACCGTGAATGGGGTCTGCTGCCCCCATCCAGGGCCCTGCCCTCTCCCGCTGCAGCAGCGGGGCAGGTGTGCGGCCAGAGCCCAGCCGGCAGGGTGTCTTAGAGGGGGGGTTATTACCCCTCCCTTTCGCCAAGGGGGCAGGAGGGGGCTTATTTCTCTGGAGACAGGAGGGGGCAGGGGGCCGGAGGGGGCTTAAAACAGCTGTGATTCCTTGCTGTGAATGCTACACAATAGTGAGAGTCATCAAAACACAATGAGCCGGTGCAATAAAGGGTTTGATCAGCATTTAAAGTATGGGAAGGGACAGAGGGACAGTCACTGCTGCCTTCTACCTCTGGCCTACAAGAAAGGGTGAAGAAAGACAGACGTTGTTGGAAAAGATGGGGAGAGGCAGTACGTGGAGCAGAAGTGATATGGAGGCAGGGTTGTCTTCTCCCAGAATATAGCCAAGAACACATAGGAGTTAAAGTAGTTTCAACCATGTCTGTCTGGACACACCCTGAATTTTCTGGAGGATTCAGAATAATGTCTCATTAATGTTTCCTCTTGGTCATTTGGATGAGAGACCCGCACAAGAAACAAGAGAGATGAAGGACTGCTTTACCCATGAGCAAGAGGCAAGAGTGAAAACGTGTTTACAAAAAGAGAAGGAGTCAGTAAATGCCCCTGTAAAAGGTACAAGCTAGTTAGTTTTTTAGGTCATAGCAATAGGGGAGGAGGCAGACAATAGCATGAGTGTATAAACTGATGCAGAAAATTATCATTTAATAGCTGTGACGTAGGTAGCAAAGCTTCCAGATAAGGTGTCTTGATTACTTTATTTTTTGGTGCGACTCTGGTGAAACCTTATTCAACTCCTTATTCTTTTGGCTGAGATGTTCCAGGTATTTTTCTCAGTCTCAGGGTTTCTTCCTTTTGAAAGGTCTAGCAAAACCAGTTTGTTTGCTGCAAGAAAAATTCAATTCTACATCCGTTCCTGAACTACCCTTGTCACCTTACTATGTGAGCATTATTCCACAAGGTTTGCACATTGAGGTGATGAATCAGCCTTAGCTCATTTAGCCCAATGGTTGAGCAAAGAGGCTCCCATCCCCAGTTACTATAAAAATAGCTTCCCATGTTGATTGCCCCCAATAGGGACTGGAGTAGGTTCCTGCCAAACAGCCCTGGGCAGCTTTACATTTTATGCTGTTGTTCCTTTCTACATCTCCAATTACCATTGTAACTCCAATGAATGAAGAGAAAGAACCAGGAAGTCTGAAAAATAAAGAGCAGAGGACAAAAGGACTCAACTCTCCAAAGACAGCTCTGAATGCTAGACAATAATGGCACTTATAAAAAATATGATCACGAGGGATCAGAGCGGCCGTCGGCCTGAGTTTGCAGATAGCTCCTTTGCAAGTTTAGGTTTTATGGTGCTTCTTTTAAAGAAATACCTATAACGACCTCCCCTGCAGCCACCGCTACCACTGCCCCTACAACAGGTGAGGAGGAGGAACCAGTCCGTCTGAAGATGAAGCGCCGGGAGCAGGAGCGCGGTGCTCCAGAAAGATGGGTGTGAAGCTGAGAAGCTCCCCACATTCCTTCCCTTGGCCTTGTGTGGGCAGTGGGGTGGCTCCTCTACCTCCTTACACGGGGTTGCATCCATTCGGCCATCCCTGGTTGTCTAACTAAATACTTTCCCTGGGACTATCAGTATCAGCCCCAAAGACATTCTCCAAACACTGGGCAGGGAGCATCACCCCCAAGTACAAAAGAGGTTGAACTTTCAGCCTCCATTTGCATCACGAAGGATCAGGGTGGCTGTGCGTGTGTTTGCCAGACGACTCCTGTACAGCTTTATGTTTTATGATGCTTCTTTTCCAGTAACATCTACAGTGAGAACATCTACAGTGACCCCCTCTACCACCATCACTAGCACTGCCGCTACAACAGGTAAGGGGGAGGAACCAGTCCGTCTGAACATGAAGAGCAGGGAGCAGGAGCGCTGTGCTCCAGAAAGATGGGTGTGAAGCTGAACAATAGTGATACCCACAGAAGTGTCCTGGGCCAGCCCTCATGCATGACCCGGTGACATGGGGGGTAGGATCCGTAATTAGAGTGGGGCTCCTCACTCGTGGTTGCTGTTGTGATTAAGGGAGGTTGTAAAAGCCAGCCGGTTTGCTGACACTGCAATTTTTTGCTTCCACCCGGATATGAAACTCTTCCTGACTGCTTCCCTCGCAGTTTTGTCCCTCCGGGGGAGTGCCGGCTTTTACAGAAGGAAGCCCAAGGTCTTGGATCCTCCCCTCAATACCCATCCTCAAGAGGGGAGAGAAGAGAAGAGGGAGCAAAAGCAACTCAGAAGCTCCCTCATTCGTTCCCTTGGCCTTGTGTGGGCAGTGGGGTGGCTCCTCTACCTCCTTACAAGGGCTTGCGTCCATTCGGCCATCCCGGTTCTCTTACTAAATACCTGCCCTGGGACTATCAGTATCAGCCCCAAAGACGTTCTCCAAACACTGGCAGGGAGCATCATCCCCAAGTACGAAAGAGGTTGAACTTCCAGCCTCCATTTGCATCACGAGGGATCAGGGTGGCTGTGCATGTGTTTGCCAGACAACTCCTGTGCAGCTTTATGTTTTATAATGCTTCTTTTCCAGGAACATCTACACCGACCATGTCTGCCAGCACCGCTACCACTGCCCCTACAACAGGTAAGGAGGAGGAACCAGTCCGT